TTTTGCCAAATGCCGTACCGGCGAATAAAATTTTATTGATGATCTCGGATGCAGCTCGTTATATGTTGAAAGCAAAGGAGAGAAGCTTCGAAGAAAGAATCAATAATTTAGAGAAGAAGGTGGAAAAAAAGAGAGGCAAGAAAGAAGAAACAATTTCATAATTACGGGTATGGAAATAAGGGAAAGAACAGATGCAAAAGAAGTAGAGGAATTTTTGAAAAAAGAAAATGAGGTAGAAGTAAAAGTGTTGGAAACAATAATTATAAGGAAAAAGGAAAGCAAGAAAATACTGGTTAAGACGCTTTGGGAGGAAAAACAAGAGGTGATGAAGAATAAAAATAAACTGAGAGGAAAGAGAATATATTTTGATAATGATTGGACAGTACAAGAGCAAAAAATTCAAAAAGAAATTAGGGAGATAGCTAAAGAGGAAAGAAAAAAAGGATACACAACAAGGGTGGGAAATAAGAAGCTGGAAGTAGGGGACAAAATGTATATATGGAATGAAAATAAAAGACAATTGGAAGAAAAATTTCTCAAATCAAGTCAGCACTAACCGAAGAAAGAAACACAAAGGGGAGGGGTAGTAATGAGGGGAGAAATAAAGAGTTTAGGTTTAAGAATGTACATTTTGTACATAATAGGGGAATGGGAAAGAAGAATGGGGAAGATAAAAGTGGTTTAAAATTACTCTTTTGGAATATTGCGGGTTTGAAAAAGAAAGATAATTTATTTTGGAACTACGTGAAAAATTTTGATTTTGTGGAAGTAACAGAAACATGGATACTAGAGAGAGACTGGAACAAACTGAAAGACGTGTTGCCAAAGGAATTTCAGTGGAAATTGCAAGAGGCAAAAAAAGAAAAACGCAAGGGTAGAGGAAAAGGTGGAATCATAACAGGAGTGAAGAAAGATATAAAAGAAATAGGAGAGGGGGCAATAGAAATGGAAGGCTTAGCTGAAAGAAAACTGATTGTAAATAAAAAAAGATGGAGAATCTGCACAATATATAGTAGAGGAATGAGAAACACGAAACAAGAAATACAAGAAAAATCGAAGAGTCCGAAGAAGAATTTCTATTGTTAGGAGGGGATTTTAATGTCAGAATAGGGAACAAAAGCAGGGAAAAAGACGGGGAAAACACACGAAAATCGAAAGATAAAGTAGAAAATAAAGACGGAAAATTGCTATGGGAATTAATTGAAGAAAGAAGTTGGGAAGTCTTGAATGGGATGAAGGAAGGGGACGAGGAGGGGGAATTTACCTAGATAGGTAAAAGAGGGGAATCGGTAATAGACTACGTAATAGTAAACGGATTAGCAGAAGAAGAGGTAGAAACATTCAAGATAGGAGAAAGAGTGGACTCCGATCACATGCCACTAGAAGTAAAAGTGAGGGGCATAAGTAGAGGAAGCGGATGCTTAAGGAATGAAGTAGGAAAAAAGAAGAAGATATGGGTATGGAATGAAAAAGAAATTGAGCATTATAAAAAAAAATGTTGGAAGTGGAATTTAAAGAAAAAGGAACTGAAAAGAAAATGGAAGAATTAAAAAGAGAAATTGAAAAAGAAGCCATAAGAAAAGAAATTGTAACGACAAATTCAGAAAAGAGAAACAGATGGTGGGATAGCAGATGCAGAGATTTAAAAACAGAAGCAAGGAAATGTTTACGAATGTGGAAAAAGGGGAAAGGTATAAAAGAAGAGTACTGGCAAGCAAAAAATAATTATAGAAAACGATGCAAAGAAAAGAAAGGAGAGATACAGCAAGAAGAAGAAGAAAAAATTAAAGCCATAAGAACTGAGCAAGAGGTATGGCAGTATATAAATAAAGAACGGAAGAACAAAATCACGATTAGTGAAGACATACCTATAATACAGTGGAAGAAGCATTTTATGGAACTGTTGAATGGAAAGGAAGAGAGAATTGTAGCGCAAGACAGTAAAACCGGGAATGGTGGTAGAGAAAGGGAGGCGGAGATTCGAGTAGAGGAAGTAGGAAAACAAGTAGGAAGACTGAAAAGACCGCGGGATGGGTTGGTAAACGAAGTGTGGATATTTGGGACGGATGGGATGATTGGAAAATTGAGCGAGTTAATGAATGATGTGTGGACGGGTAAAGGTTTTCCCAGGGAATGGAGAATAGGACAAATATGCCCAATTCATAAAAAGGGTAGTAAAGAAAAAGTAGAGAATTATCGGGGAATAACTCTTCTAAATACGGCATATAAACTGTACGCAATGGTGTTAAATGAAAGGTTGGTGACAGAGATGAACGAAAAAAGTATATTACCGGAAAGTCAAGCTGGATTTAGAAGAGGTAGAGGGGCTATGGACAATGTATATATCCTGCATCATCTAATAGAAAAAGAGTTGATAAAGGAAGGAGGTCGGGTATATGGACTGTTTGTAGACCTAAAAGCCGCGTTTGATACGGTGGACAGAGAGTGTTTATGGGAATGCATGGAAAGAAGAGGACTGAGTGAAAAGTTAATTGTAGCAGCAAGAGAGATTTATAGAGAGACAGTGACTAGTGTGAGAGTGCGAGGAATAGAAAGCGAAATGTTTTGGACGACGAAAGATTGAGACAGGGATGCCCATTAAGTCTCAGTCTGTTTGCTTGTTACATACGCGATATCGAGTAAATGTTTAGAGGAGTACAAGCGGGAGGAATTGTGGTGGGGAGAGAAAAGGTATGGTGTTTGGCATTTGCAGATGATTTGGTAATATTGGCGAAGGGTGAATGTGGAATGAATGAGATGAAAAAAAATCTGCAAACATACTTTAAAAGAAAGAAACTGGAGCTAAATGTAGAAAAAACAAAAATGATGGTGTTTAGAAAAAAAGGGAGAAAAGGGGAGGAAAAAGTGTGGCGTTGGGAAGATCGAATCATAGACACAGTAAAGGAGTTTAAATATTTAGGATTTAAGTTTACAACAACTAACACGGTAAAAGCACACATAAGAGAAAGAAGGGTCAAAGCAATGCAGATAATGGGAATGGTGTGGAGTATAGGTGAGAGAATATTTGGACATGACGTAAGAAGAAGGATGAAAATGTTTGATAGTTTAGTTAGGAGTGTATTAATCTATGGAGTGGAGATATGGGGATGGAAAGAATATGCAGAGATGGAAGCAGTACAAGAAAAATATTTGAGGTGGATGTTAGGGCTACGGAAAGAGACGCCAGGCTATATAGTAAGAGAAGAATGTAAACGAGAGAAACTAAGAGTATACACTGGGAAAAGAGCTGTAAAGTATGATGAAAGGTTGAAAGAAAGAGAGGAATGTAGGATATTGTATGAATGCTGGAAGGAAAAAAAAAGGAAGCAGGGAAAGAACATTACAAAGGTAGACAAGGATATTATAAAAGACTGGGATACGCATGGATGGAAATAGAGAGAAAGAGAGAAATGGGGCTGAGTATGAGAGAAGAGTTGTTTATGCGTGACAGAGACATAGATAAACAAGAGAGAAGAGCGAGTGTAAGTAAATCTAGGTACAATGCAGACTATAGAAAGATAATAACAGAAACAATACCAAAGTACCAAGACAGAGAAAGCGCGAAAGAAAAAAAAATAATTGCGAGATTTAGGTGTGGAAATGAAGAAAGAAATAATAAGTTTTGGGTAAGCGAAGGTGAGAGAATGTGTAGGATGTGTGGAGAAGGGCGAGAGACGATAGAGCACATGCTGCATGACTGTGAGGAAAGCAAAGAAAGAGAGGAGAGTGTGACAGAGATATTGAATGAAGACGGAAGAGGGGTGGAATGGATGAAAGAAGTGGAGAGGACAAGAGTAAGGCTGGGGCAATGGGGGATGTGGTAAAGGAAAGAAAAATTAGTTATTTAGTTTATAAAATGTATTTATTTGGTTTTTGTTAACTAGTGAAAAAATTGTAGTGTCAAGAATCTTTTTAAGCCCGTAGGGTAAAAAATAAACACTTACTACTGCTAATCTTTACTAATCCTAATATTTTATTTGCTTTAGAAACAATATTATTTATATGAAAAGTAAAACAGAGTTGACTATCTATCAGTAGTAATTAATACCTAAGGCACAGTGTTGGGGACAGATACTTTTAAAAATATCTAGATACAGATGTAGATATATGGAAGATAAAATTATCTAAATACAGATACAAGAAAATAGATACTTTTTGAAGCTTTTTCGAATAAAATAACTGGAAACATGTTTATGTATTTTTTTATGTATTGTTTAATGAATTTTTTAAAATTAACAACATTTCGAACGTATTGTCACCTAAATTATTTCTTCTTGGTGTCAGAATTTTCAATTAATGAGAAATCGATTGATAATTTAAAGGAACTGTATCAGGGAACTTACAATTTAATTGTTTGAGTTCAAAGATTGAATATAATTCTCCATATTGTCTTAGCAGGTACTAGCCCCGCCCACCCACCCTCTCTTTACTTAGAAGGTATGTTATTTGCCAAAATCAGTTTTATCTTAGCAGATACTAGCCCCGCCCACCCACCCTCTCTTTTCTTAGAAGGTAGGTTATTTGCCAAAATCACTCTTATCTTAGCAATTACTGATGACTAACTCTTACAAAAAATGATCAAAATTTGGAGACATTGCGAGCTTATGCACAAGGCAGAAATTTTGAACATCTTCTCTAGTGTTGAGATGATATGCTTTAATTAATTTTTCTTTTGTTGGTTTTGTTTCTGTTTGTAATTTATAATTTTGCTCATTGCCTAAAATCGGAGCTTCTCCCCCTGTTAAAATAATCCCCAAACGCATGCCACACTTTTCCCTCCTCCCGAACCCCACGAGCCAGCTCTCCTCTCGCCTCCCGTCCCACCCCATCCCCCCTTTCGCGAAACAATCGCACAAAACGCTCCTGTCGCAGGTTTAAATTTACACACTCATTTCGGTTTGAATGAATTTGTAAAATGAGGAGGGGGCCGGCGCGGCCGGAGGGGGGCTCCTCTAAGGACTCCCATGAAACACTATTGTAAGTGGCAAGAAGTCGCTGAAAGAATTACAGCAGGCAGTGAGCTTTCAGGCCTGAAAAGTGACAGTGGTGTCGTGGTCGATTTTCAGTCTTCGCCGGCATTAAGGTCAAGGTAATTCTATTTTCAAGACAATGCGGATTATGCTAAGTCGGGTAATGGATACGCTGTGAGGTTTCGGATTAATAGTGTCTTTGTCGTTTTTGAGGCTCCGCTGGCTTGTGTGGAGAGTTGCTGATCTAGTTTGTTTTTGTTGGTTTTTTTTTCGGCGATGGGCCGTGTTTTAATTAGGAACTAATTTAAATCTAATTATTTTTAGTGGACCGGTCGGCGAATGACTTAATTGTGTTAATTAGGAAGGATAGTAATGGAAATGGAATAGAAGTGGGCGGGACTGAGGGACACCTGTTGGATGATTTTGGCGAAATTAACATAATTCGATTAGTCGAGATAATTGGGTTATTATGTAAACATTAGCTTGCGGTTTTTGACAGTCGGAGTAACGTTTCTTTTGTCTTGTCGAGGGTTAGATAATGTTTTATAAATGATCACACATATTTTTGTTCAAACACCCAGTATTTTTTTCCCAAGACTGGTCCTGGAATCAGTTTCCACTTCGCTTAAAAATGCTCATATTTACATGTTTTACACAAAATTGGTGTATTTCAGGCACGTATTTGTATTTGGAATAAAAATACACTCACAAAACATGTTCGAAATTAACACAATGCTTTGCAATTTGAACTTTGAATAATTCAAAACTGAAATGGAGAATATATTAGCGATCGTCGATGTATAATTGTTGTGTGCAGTTTCAGCTTTCAAAATAAGTATGTATTGTTAAAATTAGCAACGAAATTTTCAAATTCTTGACTGTAGAAAAGTTTTTTTTCATTTTGTCAGTTTCAGTTTTTGGGTCACAACATTAGAAAAAAATCATAAGTTTACTACGAAAACTGTTTTTTTTTATCAGATTTTATCTTAATTTATGAATTCGTTTTATGTTATTCAGTTAACTCAAAAATTAGCCAAGAAAAAAATCATGTTTCTGTTATTGAAAAGAAATATTCAGCTTAGGTCACAAACAGAAATTATCGGTTTCGTTGTTTGACAACGCCCTATATTTACCTTGAAATATTTTGAAATAACAGTGACAGTTACAGAAAATGAAATTCTCATACGAAATACTGGGTGATTATTCATGTTTGTGATTTTTTTTTGGTAAGGTTGGCAACATATTTAAAACTGACAATCGTCATCTGAAATGTTAACATTGCTGCCAAGAATTCAGAATGGCCAACACAAAAATTTGTTGGCCTCTTTTTAGGCTTTACAATCACATTTTATTTTTGAAATTACGATGCGACGTTGCCAGGTTATTCCAATTTTCCTGAAATTTTTTGACATTTTTTTCACAAAAATTCACAGTATGGTTATTTTTTTTTTAATTTGTATTACAACATTTTGTATAGAGATAAAGAAAGGTACGTGCTTTGTTGTGGTATAAATGGATTAAATTATCATATACAGAGTGTTTATAAAGATGTTTTGATTTTTACAGTTCTAAAATATCGATATTTCAGTTTTTTGAAATAGAACATTTTTCTATTTTTGTTTTCTTTTTTTTTGGTGAGATTTTCTATATATAAAGTCGAAAGTTATAGGATTTTTATACTTCTTTAATAGACACATCGACATATTAGAAGAATGAGAACAAAAAACTGAGTAAGATGCAATAATAAAATACAGGGTGTTTCGTTTGAAAAAACCGAAATAACGATATTTGAAAGTTTTAAATTTTTTAGAAACGCTCTGTATGGTTAAATTTGATTGAATTTAGCTAACTTTAGAATGTAGTCCTCAAAAAACCGTACAACTTTGTTTTTTTTGGATAAAATCTTCATTTGAAAATAATATCTTTGAAATTAAATATATATCCAAGTATAAAATTAATATTCAATCATTTTTTGCTTTTAGTTAACTTAAAATGAAAGAACAAAATCTTATTTATGTTATTGAGAGATATAACTTTCAGCTTAGGTTAAAAGATGAAATTATCGGTTTCGTTGCTTGACAACGCCCTATATTTACGTTCAGATTTACAGAAAATGAAGGTCTTATATGAAGTACCTAGAAATTAATTGCAAGAAATTTTCTTAGAATACTCTCTAATTATTTCAGAAACAATTTTTGGGCAAAATTTTCCCTTCGGAAAGCACATGTTGAAAATTTAAAATATGCACTTGTAAAATTAATAATCAGACTATTTTGTGTTATTTATTTAACTCAAAAATTAAAGAACCAAATCATGTTTATGTTATTAAGAAGATAAAATATTCAGTTTAGGTCACAGGCGAAATTATCGGTTTCGTTGCTGAATAACGTCCTAGATTTACGTTGAAATATTTTCAAATAACAGGGTTACTTACAGAAAAACAAATTCTTCTACCAAATACTCAGCAATTAAAGTTAAAAAAAATAATAACAGAGTACTTTCTATTTTTTTCAGAGACAATTTTTTGAATAAAGTAGTAGTACTTGTCAAGATAAGACTGATCTTGGCAGATGACCCACTCTTCTAAGAAAATAAAGGGTGGGTGGGCGGGGCTAGTACTTGTCAAGATGAGACTGATTTTAGCCAATGACATATCCTCTAAGAAACTAAGGGAGGGTGGGCGGGGGGCTAGTACTTGCTAAAAATTACAAAACTTAAAAATCAAAAAATGACAAATTGAAAAATTGGATAAATGAGAAATCGGAAAATTGTACAACTGTTTAATCGGAAAATCAAAGACTGAAATATCGAAAACTTGAAAAAAACAAATCTTATAAAATCGAATTCAGAATTCCAGTTTTCATTTTTTTCTTAGTTTTTAGATTTTCCAACTTTTGAATATTTCTTTTGATAATTTGTTTGACAATTTTGCAGTTTTTAATTCCAATTTTTTGATTTTTCAAGTTTTCACTTTACAATTTTGGAATTTTTTGATTTTTAATTTTTCAAGTTAAAATGTTTCCTTTTCACTATTTGTCATTTTTCAATTTTTTAACCAAGAAAAGAAATTTATTCGAACCGAAATTATGAAAAAAAACTTAAAAATCAAAAAATGACAAATTGAAAAATTGGGTAAATGAGAAATCGGAAAATTGTACAACTGTTTAATCGGAAAATCAAAGACTGAAATATCGAAAACTTGAAAAAAACAAATCTTATAAAATCGAATTCAGAATTCCAGTTTTCATTGTTTTTTTAGTTTTTAGATTTTTCAACTTTTGAATATTTCTTTTGATAATTTGTTTGACAATTTTGCAGTTTTTAATTCCAATCTTTTGATTTTTCAAGTTTTAACTTTACAATTTTGGAATTTTTTGATTTTTAATTTTTCAAGTTCTCTAGTTAGAATTTTTCCTTTTCACTATTTGTCATTTTTCGATTTTTTAACCAAGAGAAGAAATTTAATCGAACCGAAATTATGAAAAAAACTTAAAAATCAAAAAATGACAAATTGATAAATTGGATAAATGAGAAATCGGAAAATTGTACAGCCGTTTAATCGGAAAATCAAAGACTGAAAAATCGAAAACTTGAAAAAAATAAATCTTTTAAAATCGAATTCGGAATTCCAGTTTTCATTTTTTCTTGGTTTTTAGATTTTTCAACTTTTGAATATTTCTTTTGATAATTTGTTTGACAATTTTGCAGTTTTTAATTCCAATCTTTTGATTTTTCAAGTTTTAACTTTACAATTTTGGAATTTTTTGATTTTTAATTTTTCAAGTTCTCAAGTTAAAATTTTTCCTTTTCACTATTTGTCATTTTTCGATTTTTAACCAAGAGAAGAAATTTATTCGAACCGAAATTATGAAAAAAACTTAAAAATCAAAAAATGACAAATTGAAAAATTGGATAAATGAGAAATCGGAAAATTGTGCAACTGTTTAATCGAAAAATCAAAGACTGAAATATCGAAAACTTGAAAAAACAAATCTTATAAAATCGAATTCAGAATTCCAGTTTTCATTGTTTTCTTAGTTTTTAGATTTTTCAACTTTTGAATATTTCTTTTGATAATTTGTTTGACAATTTTGCAGTTTTTAATGCCAATCTTTTGATTTTACAAGTTTTAACTTTACAATTTTGGAATTTTTTGATTTTTAATTTTTCAAGTTCTCAAGTTAAAATTTTTCCTTTTCACTATTTGTCATTTTTCGATTTTTTAACCAAGAGAAGAAATTTATTCGAACCGAAATTATGAAAAAAAAACTTAAAAATCAAAAAATGACAAATTGAAAAATTAGATAAATGAGAAATCGGAAAACTGTGCATCTGTTTAATCGGAAAATCAAAGACTGAAATATCGAAAACTTGAAAAAAACAAATCTTATAAAATCGAATTCAGAATTCCAGTTTTCATTGTTTTTTTAGTTTTTAGATTTTTCAACTTTTGAATATTTCTTCTGATAATTTGTTTCACAATTTTGCAGTTTTTAATTCCAATTTTTTGATTTTTCAAGTTTTAACTTTACAGTTTTGGAATTTTTTGATTTTTAATTTTTCAAGTTAAAATTTTTCCTTTTCACTATTTGTCATTTTTCGATTTTTTAACCAAGAGAAGAAATTTATTCGAACCGAAATTATGAAAAAAAACTTAAAAATCAAAAAATGACAAATTGAAAAATTGGATAAATGAGAAATCGGAAAATTGTGCAACTGTTTAGTCGGAAAATCAAAGACTAAAATATCGAAAACTTGAAAAAAACAAATCTTTTAAAATCGAATTCGAAATTCCAGTTTTCATTTTTTTCTTGATTTTTAGATTTTTCAACTTTTGAATATTTCTTTTGATAACTTGTTTGACAATTTTGCAGTTTTTACTTCCAATCTTTTGATTTTTCAAGTTTTAACTTTACAATTTTGGAATTTTTTGATTTTAATTTTTCAAGTTAAAATTTTTCCTTTTCACTATTTGTCATTTTTCGATTTTTTAACCAAGAGAACAAAGTTATTCGATCCGAAATTATGAAAAATCAAAATTACTTTTTACTCCCTTCTAAGAACTTGGTGACAAAAAATCAAAAATCGAAAATTTTAAAAAATAAATATCTATTTTCGGGACATTTCAAAAAATTAAATAATTGAGAAATCGGAGAACTGCCAAAATTATGAAATTAAAAAATCGAAAGTTTTTTTCAGTTGGCCAGAGATATAAAAAATCGAAACACAGATCAAAAAATTGAAAATTGAAAAAGCAAAAAATTGAAAAATTCTAAAATTGAAAAATCGAAAAATTGAAAAAGTTAGTAGTATCCATTATGATAAGACTAATTTTGGCAAATTAGAAAAAAAAAAATCTTTAAGACAACAAAGGGCGGGTGGGTCGCGCTAGTATTTGCTAAAATAAGACTCATTTTGGCCAATGATACTCTTAGTCAGCAATGAAAGTTTAAAAAAATTCACAGAATACTTTCTAATTTTTTCAGAAACTATTTTTTGGATAAAATTTCTCCTTGAAAATCGAATGTTGAAAATGAAAAATATGCAATTATTACAAAATTAATAACCAGTCATTTTGGGTTTTGGTGCCTAACAACGTTTTATATTGAAATAACACTGATAGCAATAATAGTGACACAAAACGAAATCAAGTGGAAATTTCACTTAAACTCTCCAATAAATTCAAACTCAAGTCTTTGGTCAAAATTCTTTATTTAAAAATCGTGTATTGAATTAATAATTATTAACAATTAATCGAAGCAGCTCTATATCTGTTTTTGGGTCAAATTAATTTTATTTATATTTCTTTTCCGAACCGATTACGTAATGCTAATGACATTTTCATGTAGACTAAACTAGGTCCTGGTTAATTATTAGTTTCAAATTAATGGAAGCTTAAAAGCCACCAACAAATTGTTTTTGTATATTTTACTTACTATGAGAAATCTCTAGCCGATCAAACCTGAAACGATTTCATTAGTAGTCTTGTTTGTATGTTTAATAATGAATTTAGTTCAATACATCAATCGTTTATTATTTAAACAAATACTGCGTTTTTATCAGAGCACATTCTTACCTAGCACAGCCAAATTTTTGAAACTTGAAGAAGTTTCTTAAAAAAAAATCTTTCTAAAGAATAAAAGCAATCCATTGATGGTAGAGTTAGCAGCAACCGATAGCAGGTTATTATCCAGATCGATAAAGTAAGGTACGATAGTACCTATTCTTAAAAATAATTGTGCGATTGTTTGGTTTGAATTATCGTTGGCGTCGATAGACCGATGATGTTATTTCAATTGCTTCTGTTATCACTATTTTTCTAGCAATGTCCACAAAGAACTATTTGTCTTCGTTGTGTTGAAAACTAACCACGTCGTTAAAGAGTGATATAATCAGAATCTCAATTAAGTGTGTGAATTGTGTGATAAAAAAATAGTAAACACGAGATAAAATTGATACTGATCATTTCGCCTGAGATATCCTTAAATGAAGATAAACGAAGTTGTTTCAACTCGATAAATAAAAAAGATGTTCCTCTTTTAAATCTTAAATCTTGATGCTGCGACAATATCATTCTCCAAGTACCACTTTCACCGTCATCCCAGCGAAGAGAAGCACTTCCTGGTTTCCATTCCCGTTAGGAATTAATAAATATACCAATATATTTCAACATTAGCAACCGTACATACCTACATATATAATAAACGCACTAACAAATCGGAATTTATTAACGAATCCGGCCCATTGTCATTCTAATCAGCTCGAACCAGAGTCGTAACGCTTTTTTCTCGTAGATGGTGGCCAGGATGCTGAGTGCGTTGGTCGTCCTCCATTCCGTCTTCGAGTCCGGTAGCTGCTGCGGGAAGAAGCAAGAGGCCAAAATGGGACCTTCCTACCATGTGCATCCCAACGATACGCTGCCCAGCGATTTGCAGATTACGGCCTTCTTGGTCAAGGGTGAAGGGAAAAGGTAAATGATAATACGTGTTGTGTTTTCGTTAACGATATTGATTTTCTTAGTACAGACACGAAGAATTTTAATTTTACATTACAACATTTGACAAATTTATAATCTGTTTTAAAAAATTAGTCGACAGTTATTTCAGTATTACACTACGGCCAATAAAACAAGTTTCATTTTTTTAGTTACGACAACAATAAATTAGTGTATAAAAGAGACAAAATATAAGACTTTTCCAAGCTTCTTTTTAATTATTTAAAAAATAAAAGACTAGTACCCTTCAAGTTTGTCCTGAATTTTTTTGAACAACAAAACCTTAGCTCAGTTACAGGAAGTTCCTAGTATTTTTTCTATATTCTTAAAAGAAGACACTAGAGGCTCTCAATACTGCTTCAAATTTTTTTAAAATCACGAGGGTATTCCAAAAATCTATCACTTGATCTCAAACACATGGATTCTGAAGATTTTTTTCAAATTATATCAAAAACAAAGTAACAAAGGGCCAACAAGATCGTTTAAATTTTCTAAAAAAAAAAAGTTTTCCATATTCATACAACTTTTTTGCGGATTTTTGAGTCCATTTCTTTGTCGCTATTTTTATTCCCTTTTTTTTTATTTGTTATTTTTTACGGTCTTGGCCGTTTTCGTTTGTCGCTTTTTTGTAGGCCTTTTTGTCGCCTCTATGTGGCGTTTCTTCCATTTGTTTACGCCTTCTTGTTCTTGTTGGTGCTTTTTAGTCGCGGTTTTTATCGCCTTTCTTGTCTTTTTTTAATGACTTTTTTCTCCACTTTATTATTTAAAATTTTTGTCCATTTTTACTTTTGTTGTTTTTTTTTTGTCGTAACTTTTTGCCTTCATTTTTGTCGGCTTTTTAAGCACTTTTTTGTCACCTTTTTTTTGGCCCTTTTTGACGGTATCTATTTATTCTTTTTTTGTTTTTTCTCGTCGTTTTTCTTGTCGGTGTTTTATCCATTTTTTTTGTCCTTTCGTGCCTTTTTTTATCAGGATTTTTTTGGCACCTTTTTTTCGTTTTTTTTTCGGTTATTTTATTTTATTATTCTTTTTTTTACATGTTTTTTTGGATTCTTTTTTGGCGCTTTTTAATGCCTTTTTTCTGATTGTTTATTCCTGTCCTTCTTTCGTCATCTTTTTTGATCGCTTTCGCTTACCTCCTTCCTGGTAGCCTTTTTGTCGTCCATTTTATTACGTTTATCTTGGAATTTTGTTTGTCGCTTTTATTTTTTTTTTCGTCGTCTATTTTTTGTCACTTATTTTTGTCCCTATTTTTACCTCCCTTTTTGCTGAAATTTTTAGTCGCTTTTTGTCATCTTTTTTGTAATCTGTTGTCTCGTCTTTCCTTTATGACGTTTTTTTTCGATTTTTTTTATTGTCGTCTTTTTGTCGATTTTTTGTCGTCTTTTCTTGTCCTCTTTTTGTCATTTTTGGGTTCCGTTTTCTTGTCTACATTTTGTCGCGCATTTTGGTAAGCTTTTCACACTTTTTTAGTCACTTTTTTATGGTCTCTTTTCTGTGGATCTTTTTCTTGTTACTTTTTTGTCAGTTTTTTTGTGTTTTTTTGTTTTCCTTTCTTGGTGTTTTATTAAGGAAAATGACACAAGTGTTGTTTCTATCTCTTTTTTCGTCACCTATGTGTTGTTGCTTATTTTGTCGTTTTCTTGTCCCGTTTTTTGTGGTTTTTTGTCACCTATTTTATCGCAAACTTTTGTAATCGTTTTCCACTTTTTTTGGTATTTCCTTGTCGCTTTTTTATGGCCCTTTTTTTGTTTTTCCTCCCTCTCTCTTCGTCACATTTTTTTGGCATATTTTTCTGTTATTTTTGGTCCCTTTTTTGTCGCTTGTTTATGTCACTATTTTTTGTCTCATTTTTTGTTAGCGTTTTTAGTTGCTTTTTTGTCATCTTTTTTTTTTTTAGTGGGTTTCTTTTATCGATTTATGAGTTTTTTTTGTGACATTTGTTTGTGCTCTTTCTTGTCGCCTTTTTGTCGTTTTTTTATCCTCTTTCTTGTCGCCTTTGTGTCGTTTGTGGTCCCGTTTTTTTCTCTACATTTTGTCGGCCATTTTGGTAAGTTTTTTGCTTTTTTGATGCTTTTTGTCCAGTGTTTCCTTGTGTATTTGTCGTTTTTTTTCTTTTTTTGTCGCCTTTGTGTGTTGTTTTTTGTAAACTTTTTTATCGCGATTTTTCACCTTTTTTTGGTCGTTTATGTTTTTGTCGATCTTTTTCTTGTTATTTTTCGTTACCCTTTTTGTACTTTTTTGTTCTTTTTTCTTTTCTTTTTTTTTGGTGTTTATTAATGAAAATGACGAAAATGACGTTGCTTTTTTGCCTCATTTTTTGGCGCCTTTTTGTTGAAGTTTTTTTCAAAACTTTTTTGCAGCTTTTTTTTCGTCACCATTTTTTTCTTTTTTTTGTCGCCTATTACTTACTTGCCAACTCACTTACTCACTGACTCACGCACTCACTGACTCACTCACTCACTCACTCACTCTGTTTTGTTGTTTTCCATTTTTTCGAGTTTTATGAGAAGTGTCGTTTTTGTCGTCGTTCTTGTCGCCTTTTTTGTAGTTTTGTTATCTTTTTTTGTCCAATTTTTTTAGCTAATTGTTTAAAACGTTTTTATGAATTTTGACGGTTTATTTATCACCTTTTACGACAAAAAAAAACACAGAGATATTTTTTTATCTCTTTTTTACCGCTTTCTTAGTGTTTTTTTGTGTCGTATTTTTCGGAAATTGGATTAGTACCGTTTTTTGTTAAGTTTTTGGCGCTTTTCTTTTATCGCTTTTTTTTCGTGTTTTTTGTCAACTTTTTGCAGTTTTTCTAGCGATTTTTGTCTCCTTTCTTGTCGCATTTTTGTTTTCTTATTTCGCTGCTTTTATTGGAAACTTTTTTGTCGTTCGTTTTTCACCGTTTTTTATCCCCTTTTTTAGCGATTTTTAATGACTTTTTTTGACTTTTATTTCGCCCATATTTTTCTTATTTTTTTGTTGCTTATTTGTCACATTTTTTAATCACGTCCTTTTGTTGATTTTTGTTGCCTATTTTTGTAATTTTTTTGTGATCTTTTTTTCCTCTTTTTTTGTGGTATTATTTTAACGAATTTTTTCTAGTGTTTCTTTTCTTGACTTTTTTACTTTTTTGGAGCATTTTTGGTGTTTTTGGTGGCCATTTTTGCTAGCTCTCTTTTGTCGCTCTTGATTTTTTTTATAGTTTTTTCTTGTTAATTTTTATCACCATTTTTTTTATTCCATTTGCTGTTGTGTTTTTTTTTATAACATTTATTGCCTAAGCACTGAAATCATACATAATATTTGTAGATGAATCAAAGTTTTGTCTTTTTTGGTGTTTCCTTTTGTTCAACTTTTTCTTGTATTTTTTTCTCTTTTTCCTTGTCGTGTCTTTTCCAACTTTTTTGTCCTCCTTTTTGTCTCGTTGTTTATCGCCTTTTCTGTTAATTGTCTCTTGTCGCTATATTTTTTTTTGTTGCGTGTTTTGTGGATATTTTATCGCCTATTTTCTTGTCACATTTTTGTTTTCCATTTTTTATCCAATTTTATGAGAAAACGACAGAAGTGTATTCTTTCTTGTCTTTTGTCATTTTGTTCTGTCCTTTTTTGTCCTATTTTTTTAGAAAATTGTTTAAGACTTTTTTGGTGAATGAAAATGAAGTTGAGTTTTTATCATCTTTTTTGTCTCTCTTTTTATCGCTTTCTTAGTCTTTTTTGTCGCATTTTTCGGAAATTTGTTTAGGACTGTTTTTTTGTTGAGTTTTTTTTATCCTTTGTTTTTTACCGATCGTTATCTTATCTTTTTATTGGTTCTTTGCCATATTTTTTGTATTCCCCTCCTTTTTTGTTGTTATTGTCTCCTATCAGCTTTCTGTCGCATTTTTATCACGTTCTTTTGTTGATTTTTGTACCGTTTTGTGATTTATTTTTCCTTTTTTTTATGGAGTTTTATTTTTTGCGATTTTTTTCTGGTGTTTCTTTTTTTTGACTTTTTTTCTTTTTTTAACGCAGTTTTTGTCGCTCATTTTTTTCTCGTGGTTTTTTTCTTGTAGCTTTTTATTACCATTTTTTTATTCCATTTGCTGTTGTGTTTTTTATTATAACATTTATTCCTTAAACACTGAAATCACACATAACATTTGTAGACGAACCAAAGTTTAGTCTTTTTTGGTGTTTTCTTTTGTTTTTTTGTTGCATATTTTCTTGTCGTGTTTTTTTTGTAGCTTTTTTGCCCTTTTTTGATTTTTTTCTTCATTGTTTTCTTGTCTATTTGTCGCTTTTTTCTTTTTTGTCGATGGCTCTTTTCTTCCCGTTTTTTGCCCCGATTGTTGACCCTTTTTTTGGTCACGTTTTTATCGTCCCTTTTTTGTCGATCTTTTTCTTGTTTCTTTTTTTATCAGCTTTTTGTGCTTTTTTGTTTTCCTTTCTTGGTGTTTTATTAAAGAAAATGACGAAATGTTTCTGTCTCTTTTTTCGTCGCCTATTTTTTGTTGCTCATTTCGTAGTTTCATTGTCACGTTTCCTTGTGGTTTTTTTGTCACCTATTTTATTGCAAAATTTTGTAATCGTTTTCCACCTTTTTGGCATTTCCTTGTCGCTTTTTTTTACCCTTTTTTTTGTTTTTTCTCCCTCTCTCTTCGTCACATTTTTTTGGCATATTTTTCTGTTATTTTTGGTCCCTTTTTGTCGCTTATTTTGGTCACTATTTTTTGTCTCCTTTTTGTTAGCGTTTTTAATCGCTTTTTTGTCATCTTTTTTTATTTTTTTTTTATCGTCTTTCTTTTATCGATTTATGAGGTTTTTTGCGTGACATTTGTTTCTGCTCTTTCTTGTCGCATTTTTGTCAATTTTATTGTTTTCCATTTTTTTTTTCGAGTTTTATTGTCTTCTTTCTTGTCGCCTGTTTTGTAGTTTTGTTGTCTTTTTTTTCTTCTATTTTTTAAAAAATTGTTTTTTGTGAATTTTGACAGTTTATTTATCAC